GGCACCCATCTCACCTTTCCCCATTCCCAGCATCCGTGGGCACCCATCCATCAATTCTCACCTTTCTTTATTCCCAGCATCCATGGGCACCCATCGCACCTTTCCCCATTCCCGACATCCATGGGCACCCATCTCACCTTTCCCCATTCCTGACATCCATGGGCACCCATCTCACCTTTCCCCATTCCCAGCATCCATGGGCACCCATCGCACCTTTCCCTATTCCCGACATCCATGGGCACCCATCTCACCTTTCCCCATTCCCAACATCCATGGACACCCATCCATCAATCCTCACCTTTCTTTATTCCCGACATCCATGGGCACCCATCTCACCTTTCCCCATTCCCGACATCCATGGGCACCCATCTCACCTTTCCCCATTCCCGACATCCATGGGCACCCATCTCACCTTTCCCCATTCCCATCCATCAATCCCTCACCTCTCCCCATTCCCGACATCCACGGGCACCCATCTCACCTCTCCCCATTCCGCCGTCCCCAGCCGCCATCCGTTGACCCCTCTCCGTTCCCGTTTCCAGGCGGCCGGAGCAGCAGGATGCCGTTCTCCTGACGCCGCTCCCGTCCCGGCAGGATGTCGGGCCGCCGCGGCCGCGCCGAGCAGTGGCCGGCGCTGGAGTCGGTGGGGCTGAGCCGCAAGGAGCTGGCGCTGGCCGAGGCGCTGCAGATGGAGTACGACGCCTTATCCCGGCTCCGCCAGGACAAGGAGGAGAGCCGGGCCAGGAAGGAGCGGCTCCAGGAGCGTTCCCTCATCTCCTGGGATGACCCCGTGGACAGGAACGGCATCAAAGCGGCGCGGGGGCTCTCCGGCTCCGACCCCGCGCTCGGCTACGCCGTCCCCAACGTCCCCGAGGGTCCCCGAGCGCCGCCCGCGCCCGGCCCGGCCCCGCCGGAGCCGCAGCCCTGGAAGGGCTCCCTGGGCGGGGATTACCTGCTCATCTTCGAGGGCTCCCAGCGGGAATTCCTCGGGGAGCCCCTCAACGGCTCCGAGCCCCGCGACGGCGGCGGTTCCCCCAAAAAGCTCTCGCCGCCCCCGCTGCCGCCGCGGCACCCGCTGTGGGGCTGTCCCGAGGGCGGCCAGCTCTCGGGGAAGGCGTCCCCGCTGTCCCCCAAGGGCCAGCCCAGGGACGTCAACATGTTCTCGGTGGCTCAGGACAAGCTTTTGGGGCGCCGCATCTCCCAGGAGGATCCCTACGGCGTGGATGCCATCACCTGCCTCAACCTCAAGTCCACCTACGAATCCGAGGCGCTGCCGGGCTCCCGGGGCTGGAAGGAAGGCAAGAACATCCTGGAGAAGGAATCCAGCGGGAAGCCGGTGGCACGGAGCAAGACCATGCCCCCCCAGGTGCCCCCGCGCACCTACGGGGCCCGCGCGGGCGGCAGGAAGAACCTGGCGGCCAACAGGAACCGCAGGATCTCTGTGGAGCCGGTGAGGGAATTGCCAGAATGGGAATTGGAGTTGGGGTGGGATGGAGATGGGAATTCAGAGCTGGGATGTCCCGGGGATGGGTGTTCTTCCGGGTGGGTTCTTCTTGTCCCGTCCTTGTGGCTCCTTGGAATGTTGTGTGGGATGTGGGGGCAAGATGTCCCATGAGACAGCCCTGCCCCGAGCCCCAAAAACTGAGTCAGACCTGCCAAAAACTGAGCCAGACTGGTCCAAAACCCCAAAACTGAAGGGTCTGCGAGTCAGACGTGTCCAAAACCCCAAAACTGAAAGGTCCTGTGAGTCAGACCTACCCAAAACACCAAAACTGAGCCAGACCTGTCCAAAACCCCAAAACTGAAGGGTCTGTGAGCCAGACCCGGCACGGGTGGCCCCCAGGTGATGGGCTCGTGCCCTGCCCCACAGGTGACTCCCCGGCCCCACTCCTTGGCCAACGGCTACGAGCTCTTCGAGGTGTCCGAGGAGCGGGACGAGGAGGTGGCCGCCTTCTGTCACATGCTGGATGTGTGAGTATCCAAAATGTCCCCAAAACAACCCAAATGGGGCTACAGGGCCACCCAGAGGTGCTTCAGGGCCACCAAGAGGGATTCAGGGCCACCAAGAGGTGTTCAGGGCCACTCCAAGGGGATTCAGGGCCACCAAGGGGG